GCTGGTGTAGGCCGTGTAGCCTGTAAAGTTCATGTCGGTGATGTTGGTTTCCTGAAGAAGTAACGCGTCAGGTTTCTCATCAGGCTTATCTAACAGTCGTGCCCTGAGCTCCGCCGCCCGGTTTGCGCAGCCCCAGGCAGTTCCACTGAAGCACTCTTGTCATGCTTTGATGAAGGTTGATGTGAGTGCTCTCATCTGGCTGAAGGCTGATTTGTAGTGATTATTCTCTTCTTGCTGAACTTGGGCTATGGCCTTGAGGCGGTCCAGTTCGGCTTTGAGGAATGCGCAGGTGTTGCGCAATTCTTGGACTTCTGGTGCCGGCGGCGGTGGAGTTTGAAGTGCTGCAGGGTTCTTGCCTTCCTTGAGCAAGTCGGCCCACAGAGAGGAGGCGCTGGGTGGGACTGGCGTCATGACTTCTCTGTTCGCGATCTCCCGTTGTTGTTGGAGCTTATGCACCTCCTCGTACTTTCTTAATTCCTCGCGCATTTTTTTGTTCGTTCCTTGCCGGGTCGGGCACGCACGGTCTGGGCCAATATGTCCCGCCTTCTTGCATCCTTGGCAGAAAGGTGCGTTGGGAGTGGGACCCTGTTGATTTGGGTCGTGGTGGTTACCGCATGTGGTGCAGGCTGTAGCATTCGGGCATATGTCCGACTTGTGTCCAATACGGTGGCAATTTGTACATGTCACTGCTTTTGGTTTGTACGGGAAGACCCGCATGTACCGCTTTCCATATAGGACGGAGCGCGGCAGCTTTTCGCCGTCAAGCGTGAGCACTGCTGTGTTGCATTTTCCCAGGCGCCGGGCAGCAACCACGTGGATTTTCTCTGATTCTAGTTCAAGGTTAAGGACATCGTCCTGGGGGTCCTGTTCCTTTGTGTAAATCCCGTAGATTACACCTTTGGAGTAAGTGTTGCCGTACGTGCGAAAAACTTGTACGGGAATTGTTTTGTCCTCAATCTTAACTTCTGTTATTTTCTCGAGGAATTCTGCCACCTCTTTCGAGTCGGTCTTGACCGAGATCGTGTTGGCTTTCTCGATTAGATGCATGGTGAACGGTGCGTTCTTCTGTGTGCCCAAGATGTGCATCTTGAGCTGGGGTTGAAGTGGCTTGATCGGTATACGTGATCTCGTCAGGCGGATCTTGTATTCGAACTGTCGACGGCATTGCCGAGATGTAGCGGCGGCGACGGCAGCTGGCTGTGTTGGGTCTCCCCTGACCCTTTTCCTTTTCTTTTTGTTCGTGACGACTGTCCAGTCGTTCTCTGGTAACTGTTCTTCGGCCGCAGCTTGTGCCAAGCCTACGGTGTTCTTGATTTCTGACGTAGCTTGCGTCTCGCCGTGTTGCCGACTCGTCGCGGCTTTGTCAGACGTAACGTCTGGAAGTGCAGGCGTAGCGGCTGGCACCACCGGTACCGGCGGAACCATCTCGCTTGCGACCGACATTGGGGTACTTGCCGGTGTCTTCTTGGCCGCCGGTTTCTTCTTCTTTGCCTTGGCTGCGGGAACTATATTGTGAGATTCGCCTAGAATGCTCTTGAAGATGTCGAAGAGGCTGCATGTCCTTTGGGATGGTCGAAAGGAGAGCCCTCGGGGCTTGCTCGGCTGAGGGCGCCGTGCTAGCGGAAGGAAATGTGGCTCGCTCACTGAATTTAAATAGAGTGGGAACCTCGAAGGTCAGTTTCTTTAGTATCGAGGGCGTACTGGCCTGGCTTGCTTTCCCCGTCGTGTCGGCGACGGGTCCGGCGTTGCCTTGTCCGGCGGCAGCGGTCCTCGTGTCCATGGCTTCTGTTTAGTCTTGGCCAGGCTGGCTAGAAGTATTGGTCGCTTCTTCTTGATTCACCGGAGGATTAGGGCCTCCATGAAGTTCAAAAGAAGGGGCCAAATTTGGTAGCACGGGGCTGGGCTTGGCGCCGAGCATTTCTTGATCGGAGAGCATGAAAAACACAGCCGTTCGCTACGGTGTCGTCTTCTTTCTCCCGCGATTCGGCGACGCGTTAAAGACTGTCGCTTGTAGGAAGCGAGCAAGCCGGCCGAGTTGCGGCGGTCGCCTATTGTTCGCCGCGACCTAGCGGTAGCCGCCGCAGGAGCATCGGGGAGCAATGCCGACGAACAGCACGGCGGACAGTGTCCCCGTCGTGATTACGAAGGAATTTAAGGCAGTTACGAATTCGGAAAGTTCCTTCGGTAGCCGCTGCCGTCGGCGCAAAATCATCAGGAAGTAATAGTAATGAACACCACAGAGCACAGTGGGCGATTACGAATCCGGAAAGCTTCTTCGGTAGCCGGTGCAGAATCATCGGGGGAAGCAATGGCGATGAGCAGCACAGCGGACAGTGTTCCCGGGGTGATTACGACGGGGTTTAAGGCGGTTACGAATCCAGAAAGCTTCTTTCGTGGTGCCAGTATGACGAAGGAAAACTCCTTCGTGAATCTGGCCACGTGTACGACGTGAAGGAGGTCCGTTTCGACGGACAAGTGGATGTCACGGAGCGCCGTACTCCGCTAACAAAATTAAGCGCGCCCGCAAAAAAATGTAGTTGGCGTTGAGTCGACTGTGGTAATTATGTAAGTTTATTTCTGAATCAGCTTGACAATAACTGGGCGATATTTTTGCGCCGTTCCGTGATTCCCACTACTATCTTCCTGTAGGCTGATGGGAACATCCAGGGTAGGCTTAGGTGGGCGACCGCATTCCGCTTCTCGATTCCGGTGAAGTATTTGCTGCATACTTTAGAGTTTGTCGTCGGTGTCGATGCTGTTCCATCGTCGCTAGAATAGAAAAAAGTTAATTGTATTATTCATCAGCAGCTCAAACAATACGCGAACTGGAAGGTAAAAAACGCCACTAACCTGTATGGACGCACAAGTCGCGCCCAGGTCCCGCAGTACCCCGCCTCGTACGGCTTCGAATGGACGATGTATTACTTCGTGCCGTGCGCGATCTTCGACGTTCTGTTGCAGCCGACCACGCAGCAATTGTTGCAGCTTTCTCGGTGCGGAATAGCCATCTCAGAAATTACAGCGCTAACCCACTACAACGCACAACCAACGCAGGGACTGGCAGAAGCTCCCCGATGCAACTGACCGGTTTGCCGCTAGGGGCGCCCTGGTCGGGGCTGGAATTAGATCCGCACGGTTCCTATGTTGATGCAGCCGCAATGAATTGTAGAACTTGTATTCGCGTACTCGAGGCAGCCTTGGGCTTCCTTCCGAATGATGATGCACGCGCGGTAAAGTGGTGAATGACGAGCAAAAAGAAAACGCCAAATAAGAAAGAAATATTTATTCAACCCCCCTCCCAAGAAAAAACAAGAAACAAAACGGAAGGAAAAAGAGGCGCTGGTTCAGTTTGGGTGGCTAATACTTCGTCATGTTTCCGTTAGCCTGAATCAGTTCTGCCACACGGCGTGGCATAGAATCATAAAGTGAGGCCACCAACTCTGGCTGTGCACGAAGCGCCTCCCATTCCTCTTTGACAACGTTCCAGAGCGTCTCCGACATAGCGCTTCAGAGGCTTTGTGCTGCAAGGCGGCCTTTCATCCACCCCCACACGCTCTCGATGGGGTTCAGGTCCGGCCCGACCGGTGGCCACTGCAGCGTGCGGACTGCACGGTCCTCCAGTAGGGCGCTGACAGAACGCGCTGTGTGAACTGGGCTTCTGTCGTGCTGCAGCAGACAGCAGCCGTCTTCGAAGGGTCCATCCAGAATATATGGAACCAAGACGTTGTCAAGTATTTCGCAGTAGCACTGTGCGTTAAAGCTGCCCTCAATCCGCACAAGAGGGCCAAGGCCGTCTTTGCTCATGGCGCCCCAAACGCCAACTGCGCATCGGCCGCTTGACAGGACACTGTGGGTGTACTGGACCATATACCTAATATAAGAATAGAAAAGAGGGCAAAAACGGGTGAACCAGATTAATAGAGCTGTTTTAATCATACATCTTAATAAATAAAAAGATTGTCTTTAAATTTGGAACAAACAGGAGGACTGAACGTCTTGGGGAAATACATATTCCTTCAGCAAAACAAAATAAAAAAAAAATAAAAATGCATGTTTCAATTGTATGAACACTAAGTAAAAACAGCGAACCCGCCACGACTCCTACGACAAGTTTCAGTTGAGGTAAAAATTTACTTTAAAAAAAGTTACGAAGGCTGGGATGGACAGTAGTGCATTAGATAAATGCAAGTAAAAATCTGTATAGTGGTTGTCGGCGAGCATATCACAAATAGTATACGCTGCATCTGTAATGCTGGACCATTGTAGCACTCGTGCTCCGTTACTATAAAATTTTTGTAGTTACCATCACTAAACAAAATTATGTATTATTACAACCTGCAGTTAAACGGCCGCCAGACGCGCCGCTGCTGGTCCCACCGGCTTGAGAAGGTCGACTCGTCGCTGAATATAACTTCTCGCCAGTTGTCCACTGTTATGTTCGTGTGTTTAGTACATCCGCATGGCGGTGCCAGCGGCGAGCAGTCTGGCAACCGGGGATGCATGCGCCATCACGTTCTGCGCTGCTGCGCGTGTGGAACATCAAGTCGGACACAGACCGTTGTTGGAGCTAGTCTGGCCCGCAATAAATGTTGACGCCACGGAGTGTTTGTTTCCGCGAACCCGACATAACAGTGGCGACGAAGACGGGATCCCTTCAGGACGGCGGCACTGCGGCCGCCAAGGAAAGCTAACTCCGTTGCCCGGCCGCTCAGCATGGCCACCGCTCCCACCGAGGCCTACATCGAAGCTTTCGACTTCTCCCGACCTGAGGACTGGGGGGATTACGCACAGCGGTTCGAATTCTTCCTGGATGCGCAAGGTATCACAGATGCCGGTAAGAAGCGGGCGACGTTCCTCAGCCGTTGCGGCTCCGCTACGTTCCAGTTGGCCAAAGCGCTCGTGGCGCCGGCCCCGCTCGGGGATACGCCCCTCGAAACAATCCTCACCGCGCTGAGGGAGCACCTGGCCCCGAAACCTCCAGAGCTTGCGAGGCGACACGAGTTCCATCGCCGTGACCAGGCACAGGGAGAGTCTGCGGCGGCCTACCTCGCTGCCCTTCGTACCACAGCGCAGCATTGCCAGTTCACCGCCCTCGACACTGCGCTCCGGGATCGTTTTGTGTTCGGGTTGCGGAGCGACAAAGTGAAGCAACGACTCTTGGCTAAAAAAGAAGTGACCCTCGCCAGTGCTGTCGAGGAAGCAATCGCTGCCGAGGTCATCGACCGGGAAGCCTGCCGCGACTCCCGCCCAAGCGTAAGCGCACCACGCATCGAGCCCGTGCACCAGGGGACAAGCGCGGGTATCGACAACGAGCAAGACGCCGCCGAGGACGTCTTGCGCCTAAGGATAGACCAGCGGAGGGACCCGGAAGGAATGGGAGGCGCCTTCTGTGCTGGCTGCGGAGGCTCCCACGAACGGCGGCTGTGCCGTTTCCGGGATGCCCAGTGCAGGGGCTGCGGAAAAACGGGTCATATACTTCGAGTCTGCCGGTCCCGAAGGCCACGGGACTACCGCCAGAATTCTGAGACGGACTGCAAGACGCCTCGCGTCAGGGCCACGACTCGCACAAACATTGCCTACTGCGACGATCAAACCGTGACTGCTATCCACGATGTGCCCGCGCCGGCCCTGAGGAAGATACATGTGGAGGTCATGCTCGAGGGCAAGCCATGCCAAATGGAGGTGGATTCTGGGTCAACTTTTTCGCTCATTTCTGAGGCCACAGCCAGGCGGATCTTCCCAAATGGCTGCTTGCCAGCCCTGAAACCACTGGATATCACGATGAAGGACTATCAGGCCAACCGCATCGCAGTGCATGGCTATGGCATGTTCAGGGTGAAATTCAAGGACTTTGATGGCCTATTGCGTCTCGTCATCGTCAAGGGTGAGCGTCAGAGCCTCCTGGGGCTGGACTGGTTCCCAGCCCTGGGCATCAACATCATAGGAGTGCAGCACATCACCCAGCCATCTCATGCGATCAGTAACATCCTTAAGGAATTTGGGTCCGTGTTTGATGGAGCGTTGGGATGCTACAAAGGACCACCTGTGCAGTTTTCACTCAATCCTGAGGTCATGCCCGTGCGGTTGAAGGCAAGAAGAGTACCCTTTGCTCTTCGGCCAAAAATCGATGCCGAGCTAGACAAGCTCATACAACAAGGGGTGCTGGAGCCTGTGGATCAAGCTAAATGGGAAACACCTATTGTCACGCCCTTGAAGGCAAATGGGGATGTGCGTATCTGTGCAGACTACAAGTGCACGATTAATAGGGCATTGCAACAACATGCATACCCAGTGCCAGTCGTGAGCCATCTCCTGGCAGCCCTTGGAGGTGCCACAATCTTTGCAAAGCTTGATTTGGCACAGGCATATCAGCAGCTGCCAGTGACCGAAGAAGCAGCAGAGGCCCAGACCATCGTAACTCATCGGGGAGCTTTCCGCGTCCGCAGGCTTCAGTTTGGGGTCTGTGTCGCACCCGGCATCTTCCAAAGTCTCATGGAAAACCTCCTGAGGGGACTATCGGGTGTCATCGCTTATTTTGATGACGTGATTATTGCTGGAGCCTCACAGGAAGAACTGCTCGTTCGCCTGCGTGACGTTCTACGGCGGTTTCAAGCCGTAGGGCTCAAGGTCAAGAAAGAAAAATGCCAACTCGGTGTGACACAAGTAGACTTTTTAGGGTTTCGAGTTGACGCTGAGGGAATACATCCGACACCGGGAAAGACCGAGGCCATCATGAATGCCCCATGCCCTGCAAACAAGACTGAACTACAGGCATCCCTGGGACTCCTCAACTTCTACCATGCTTTCCTACCCCACAAGGCAACCATTGCAGAACCACTGCACCGTCTATTGAACAAGAATGCTAAGTGGGCCTGGGGCCGAACACAACAGAGAGCCTTTGGCATCTTGGCATCCAACCAAGTCTTAACACACTTTGATGAAAAGAAACCCTTGATCCTGGCTTGTGATGCCTCCCCATACGGAATAGGAGCTGTGCTGAGTCACCACATGCCTGATGGGAAAGAAGCACCTATCGCATTCTATTCCAGGACACTGTCTACCACCGAGCGCAATTATGCTCAGATTGATAAGGAGGCGCTTGCAGTGGTCGCAGGTGTAAAAAAGTTTCATGACTACGTATGGGGCCGCCAATTTCAGATCCACACGGACCACAAGCCACTTCTGGGGCTGTTCACCCCAGACCGTCAGACACCGCAGATGTTGTCACCACGGATGCTGCGCTGGTCGATATTTCTAAATGGGTACCAGTACTCTCTCCTCCATCGGCCGGGGAAGCGGCTGGGCCACGCAGACAGCCTCAGCAGAATTCCCCTAATGCAACAGCACCAGGACGACCCGGCCCCAGCAGAGATCATTATGCTCCTGGACATGCTCCCAGAACCTCCACTCCAAGCCGCTGACATCGCCACACAGTCTGCAAGGGACCGTACCATGTCTCGTGTACTCAACTGGGTGTGGAAGGGGTGGCCACCAAGGCACAGCATCACTTCTGAGTTTACACCATTCGTGTCAAGGCAACATGAGCTGTCTGCCCACAAAGGTTGTTTACTGTGGGGTGACCCTGTGGTGATACCGCTGAAGCTACGGTCCCGGATTCTCGAAGCCTTGCACGCCGGACATCCAGGAATTGTTCGGATGAAGGCACTTGCCCGCAGCTATGTATGGTGGCCAGGAATGGATGCGGCTATCGAGGAATGGGTGCGACGATGTTCTCCCTGCCAGGAAACACGGCCAGAGATGCCCCGAGCACCAGTCCATCCATGGGAGACGACCCGGGCGCCGTGGTGTCGCCTGCACATTGATTTCGCTGGGCCGTTCCAAGGAAAGACATTCCTGATCATAGTGGACTCCTATTCAAAGTGGCTGGAGGTCATCGCAGTGTCATCCATGACATCGCTCACCGTGATCAATGCCTTACGGAGGCTGTTCGCAACACATGGTCTTCCAGACACAGTAGTGTCGGACAATGGGCCTCAATTTACGTCCGCCGAGTTCCGGGAGTTTCTTGAGGCCAACCTGATCCGCCATGTGACATCTGCACCTTTTCATCCATCTACAAATGGCCAGGCTAAAAGGATGGTGCGAACCACCAAGGAGGCTCTGTCGCGCATTGTGCAGGGAGATTGGTCACGGCGACTGGCAGATTTCTTGCTACAGCAGCATGTAACTCCACACTCAAGCACGGGGCGATCACCGGCCGAACTGTTAATGGGCCGCCGGGTATCGACCATGCTGGACCGGCTGCATCCCGACAGGGCTCCGGCCAAGTCATCCCAGCAAACAGGACTGCTGCCATTGCCACGCTCATTCCTGCCTGAGGACCCTGTATTTGCACGCAACTATGGCCGTGGCCCCCCATGGGTCCCCGCTGTGATTGGCCGAGCGACCGGGCCAATCTCCTACGAAGTGACCCTCTCAGATGGCAGTGTGTTGCGGCGGCACGTTGACCAGCTCCGGCGCCGGGCAATGGCGCCTTGCACAAGCGAGGGACCGGCACCAACAGAACAACAGCCAGAGGTCTACCCCACACAAGGGCCATCACCAAGGGAAGTTTATCCTCGACAAGGGATACCTCCAGGGCAAGTGAGCAATGAACCAGCCGAGAGTTCGTTGGAAGAGCAGCCAACGGCTGAACCCTCTGCAGGCGACAGAACCATGTCCCAACCTGTGCCAACGACCGCACCACGGCCAGTGTTGCCGGAAGGACTAGAGGGGGATCCTGAACCAGCGACCCTGCGCCGTTCGCAGCGAGCTCGGAAAACCCCATCCCGCCTGCGAGACTTTGTGCTGGCACTGGCCGAGTGTTGAGCCTGACCTTAGGGGGAAGGGGTGTTATGTTCGTGTGTTTAGTACATCCGCATGGCGGTGCCAGCGGCGAGCAGTCTGGCAACCGGGGATGCATGCGCCATCACGTTCTGCGCTGCTGCGCGTGTGGAACATCAAGTCGGACACAGACCGTTGTTGGAGCTAGTCTGGCCCGCAATAAATGTTGACGCCACGGAGTGTTTGTTTCCGCGAACCCGACATAACATCCCGGGCTGTCCATTGCCCGGGATGTCATTGCCCGGGCTGTCCATTCTTGGACAGCCCGGGCAAATTCGAGCCGAAGGCGCCTCTGCCGCTCTGTGAGGTGCGGCTTTTGCGCTGGCACGCAGTTCTTCAGACCAGCTTCTCTGAGCCTTCGCCGGATAGTTGAACACGATATGTTTAAGTTCCGTTCACTGCGGATGTCCTTCGCGCGGACGAAAGGACCAGCGACTACGCAGGCGATGATTAGTCGATCAGTCTCTTCATCGGTTGATCTTATTTTTTTCTTGGCCTTCCGCTGCGCTGGTCATCCGTAAGTCGCCTGTTATCACGATATGCACGGATAATTCGATTTACCGCTTTTAGTGATCTGCCAGACGTTGGCAGATTTCTCGCTGCGAGACACCTTGTATGCAGAGCTCAACAATGCGTTTTCTTGCTTCGATGGTAACTGGCGGCAGCATTCTCGCAGAAGATAAAACCAAGCAAGAATACCTCATATATATAGCTTTTGCGGCATGATCTTGTCCGGTCGCTGACCAGAGCTGCGCAAGCTTTGTGGTGGCCATTGCTGCCTAATGCACGTTAGCGTGGTTCACCAATGACTGTGATTAAGTCCCGGTATCCTGCTGAACGCGCTCCCCCGTGATATCGCATTCCTTCCTAGCGGTATCGAGTGTGCGTCAGTGAGCCCCCGCCGCGACTCTCATAGATTACGTGCTGGGGGCTTACGAACACCCGCGTTTTGCGCGTATTCATCTGTGCCTCAGCTAGGAGACAGTTTTACCTACTGCTTTAAGGACACAATAAGCGGCACTATTGCGCACTGTGGGTGGTTGTCGCGTGTTCGTATCACTCAAAGGGGCTATGCAAAAATTTTAACGTTGAAATAATTTGCAGCTTGTAATTTTTATATAGTTGATAGCGTCATAAAGAATCGAAAAAGCATCATTTTCCCGCAAAATGTTGCACTTCTGTTGTGTAATCACAAAACAGAAATGTAAATATTTCCCCCTCTGCAGCCGTGCGCGGCGGCCATGGGAAACGCGCCGTGACGGTGACGCGGGGATCACTGCAGCTTAGCGCCTCACGAAGAGCAGTAGAGAGAGAAAGAGTAAACATCCTTGGGGAGAGCGAACGGAAACCGGTGCACCCTCACGTCGACGTCACTGAGCACGTCATTCGGAGAGTTGAGGGGTGCCGGAAACTTGAATCTTTATTATTGTTTAAAATTATAATTAGGGCACACAGACTAAATCGCTTTTCCTGTTCTTTACTTTAGAAGTGTCGGAGAACAACTCCTATAATTATTTGGCCATTGTCCGGAAATCGTTGCATAGCCGCTTTATTCTATGGCTTTCGGTACAAGTCATGAGTTGATGTCAAACTGACCATTTTAAGGTCACTTCGCGAACAACCATGCTGAGAATTTGTGGCCAGTACCATGTTTGTTTTCTTGACTTTTTGACCCTTTACAACGCGTGCATAATAAATTGAGCAGCAGCTGTTTGCATTGTAGCCGGGCCAAATTTAGGAGGGGAAGCTTAAAAATAACGAATGGAGGGAGGCGACAGTTTTGAACGCGTCGCCGAGTCGCGGGAAAGATATGCGCGAACGGCGCGTGCCGCGGAGCACGCGAGCTCGTCCCGAGCGGTGAGCGAGGCTCTCGGAATCTTGGTTCCCGGGGCGGCACCTAGCGCCCATTTAATCGCTCAGGAGCGCATCGCGTTGAACCGAGCGAACGAGTGGGCCGGCAGATAACAAAGGACGCGCGTGCGCATTGCGCGGGTCTCAGCACCAGGCGCCGCGCCGTTAGGGAGCGCAGCGATGCAATGCGGTCGAGTACTGCAAACAGTAAAATCACAGCCACTTTCGTCGTGAAAGGTCATTGAAGCACGACATCGGAATCAAAGAGTCAGATTTCTACTTCGGAAACAAACTGCATCGGAAGGTAACCGACCTGAAGAAGGGAGAGGTTTTGCGTCGTTGTTTGTCTGGTGTTTGTCGTGCCCCATCTGGACATCCACTCCGGTAGGCTTATATAGCCACCCGTCGGGATTGGAACCCTGTGATGTTCCAGTGCTTGATTGTTGCCAGATGCTGATGTTGAACGTTTCCTGGTGAATCCAAGTTGGTGGCGAAAACGTCCGAGGAAATTTCGTGACTCTTTCGATGACGATAGATGACTTGTCCCAAGCCAGAAGTTGACGATGCAGCAGATTTCCAGGCTGGATCGTGAAAAGGGCCGTGGTCACCAACACCTGAAGAAGGGAGAGGTTTTGCATTGGGTTGTTTGTCTAGCGACGCCTTGCCGAGCGTGTTAGGTAATTACTGTTAAATACGAGATGTAGACCTTCGATGGTTGTCTAATCGATTTATTCTGATGGAGCCTCCGATTGAGCCTGGCGCAGCGTTCCTGGCCTGGCGTTGACTGCTCGCGCCCCGCGGCTCTCAAGCGCTCGGTGCGAGCGCAGCCGATGGTCACGAGCCGATGGGCGCCAGCTTGCCAGCCGCTACATAACACCCCCTCCAACTAGTCGTTGCTCCCGTAGCGTTGCGGTTGTCGTCGCGCTCGAGTGCCCCTCCGGGTACCAGTGAAAGGGCCAGCGTCTGCCATCGAAGGAGCTGACGCTGGTTCGCGAGGAAACGCCGCCGCCCTGCTACTGTCTCGCTGGGGTGATGCGTCTACTCGAGCTGGAGTATCTTCGCCGGGAGATGGTGCCCGTGGTGGAGTTGGACTCTGGTCAATCTTGAGGTCCCACACAGGAGACGGAGTCTTCGCTTCTTGTTGAGTGCTGGCTGCTGTACATCGCTGACGTGTGTGGTTGGTATGCCGGCGTACCGAACCTTCATCTGTGTTCACCATCCATGAACGGAGGCCCATCTGACGTTCGATTACGCCAGGAACCAGCCTTTGCCGTGTGGAAACTTCTTAGTCCAGACCGACTGTCCCACGCTCAGTTCCCGTGCGTTAGTGACGCTTTCCGTGCGGACGGGCTCTTCAGAAAGTACAGTTCTTAATCGTTCAAGAGCTGATGGAAGTTCCCTGCCATAAAGCAACCATGCTGGCGTTTTTCCCGTTGCAACGTGAATAGTGGTGTGCTGTTTGAATAAAAACCTGGCCAACGCACAATTCAGCTCTTCCTTTCCCTTCTTCCCGAGTGCCAGTTTCAGCTCCTGTACCATGCGCTCCGCCTGGCCATTAGTGGCGGGATGGTACGGCGCACTAGTTACAGCGATGATCCCGTTGTTTCGGTAAAATGTTTTCATCTCCTCGGAAACTAGCGCCGCGCCATTGTCCGACACAATCTTCCTTGGTAGTCCAAACGTTACAAAAATGGTCCGTAACTCTTTAATGATGGCGGCCGATGTCATGTTGCGGACCACGCGCACTTCCAGCCACTTCGTGAACGCGTCCACCACAACCAGAAAAACATGACCCACGACGGGACCTGCAAAGTCCAGGTGAACAGTGTCCCACGGCTCGGTTGGCCTATTCCACACAGGGATCGGTTCCTTCGCTGGTGACTTCCGGTGTATCTGGCAGGTGCTACATGCAGCGACCCATGCTTCAATATCGGCGTCCATCTCGGGCCACCAAACGTAGCTGCGAGCGCAAGCTTTCATCGCCACAATTCCGCGATGTCCCGAGTGAATTAGAGCCATCGTCTCTCTTCTCAAGTTGTTAGGAATCACGACCCGTGTCCCCCAGCTTACGCATCCTCTGTGTGTCGACAACTCTGCCGCTTTACTTCTGTACGGCGAGTACTCTGGGGACTGATACCGATGAATAGTGCCTTCTTGTACTGCCTGGTATACTGTTGACAGGACGGCGTCACGTGCTGTCTCCCTGGCTACTTGGTGTGCGGAGAGCGGTGTGCGGGTCAAAGCCTCAAACATCAGTATGTCTCCGGGTACTTCTGGCTCCTCCTCCGTGGTGGACATGGGAAGTCGGCTTAGAGCGTCCGCGTTCTGATGGCGGTTTCCCGGCCTGTACCTCAGCTCATACTTATAAGCGGCCAATTTTACGCACCACCTGGTCATCCGCGGTGACAGCACTTGCGGAACAGGCTTGTCCGTTCCTAGGATGCCAAGAAGAGGTTGATGATCTGTGTAGATTGTCATGCTTCGCCCTGCGACATACTGATGAAAATGGCTGACTCCATGATCAATGGCTAGGCCCCTCGGTCCAGTTGTGAGTAGTTGCTCAGTGGTTCCCAGGGTCCTGGACGCAAACGCAATCGGAGCCTCTCGGCCGTCGGAGTCCAACTGTGCTAGTACGGCGCCCACACCGTAAGGCGAAGCGTCGCAGGACAACAGTAGTGGTTTTCTTTCGTCATAGTGTGCCAGTACTGTATACTGCACCACCAGATCCTTCAACTTCTGGAAAGCCTCGCGGTGGTTTTGCTCCCATCGCCACTCTGTCTTCCGTTCCAGTAGGTGATAGAGCTCTTTCGCAATCGTTGCTCGATTCTGTAGAAATCTGTCATAAAAAGCTAACAGTCCCAGAAAGGACTGCAGCTCTGTCTTGTTCCTTGGCTCGGGCGCCTGTACTACGGCCTGAATTTTGTCCTGCGTGGGATGTATGCCGTCCGCATTGATGAGGTGGCCAAGAAATTTTACTTCACTCACCCCGAAGCGGCACTTGGTTTCCTTTAGTCTTAGTCCTGCACCTTCTAGTCTCGTCAGTACTTGATCTAGTCGATAGTTATGTCCTTCCGTAGTCTCCCCGCTGATGATGATGTCGTCTAGGTACGCACTGACTCCTGAGATGCCTGCTA